CCGCTGAGCCCTCGGCATTGTCACGCATCCCAACTCTACTCCTGGCTGACCGGTCATCGCCACACCAGCCTGCTCATCACACGTTCCAAGCAGATTTTTCCTTACGTCCTCTCCCGTTCTTCATCTGCATGCTGCAAGTAGATAGTCCCGCTCTGTTCCTTCACAGACTCCTCCAGGGGGGACAACAAGTCTTCAAGCTCTTTCTGCTGTGACAGAATGAAGTCTAGCTCCTGGTCCAGTCTGAAAAGAGAAAATGTTAACTACTCAACTTAGAGGTTACACACATTCTACATCTGCCATACCACAGGGCAAGAAGATGCAAGAAAGAAACAAAAATCATCTCAAGTGCTCATGGTTTCGTACCTCTTCTGATCAAGCTTCACTTTCTCTACTTCTTTGTGTAATGAAGTAATCTGGAAACAGAAGACACTTGATCATGCTATGAAAAGTCAAAGTCAACTCTTAAAAGCAGAGCGGTGGAACAAGAAAGCCGGCGGCGTGCAAATGTCTACTAGAAACAAGGAAGAGGTACACAAAGCTTTACAGAACAAGAACTGAATAAAGGAGATTTGGCTTTGAAAGCTCCACCCTAACATCACTTGTTACCACAGTGTAAACTCACAGAACCCATTTCCACGCTGCAATGCCTGGACACCAGAAGAGGCACACAGCCACTCTTTCACAAGCACCCACATATCATTCACACCTATTTTTTCACAAGCACAAAGTCCCACAACCTGGCTTGCTGCAACTGTGACACTGAAGGCCTCCTACCTAAGCAAGCAAAACCAGGGTACACTGGATGTCACCTCACCTTCTCTCCATTCTCTATCAGCATCCGATCCCAGGCATTAACTTGGGTAGCTTGATGGAGAAAGTGTTTCTCTTGGTCTTCCAGTTCCAGACTCCACTTGTTTATCAGACTCTCTAGCTGGGCATAAGTCATCACTGGAGGCGCACTGAGAGGAAGCGCGAGGCAGTACAGAACACAAGATCAAAAACCAACACACAAACGTCACAACGCCCATTTCCCCTTCCTCCACCAGATACCAGCACTAACGCTGCCTCTTGACCCCACCGGCAAACAGTCAGTTTAACAAAACACTCACCCCGTTGTGGTGGTGGTGGTTATGGCAGCTGTAGAAGTCACAGCTCCAATGGCACCAGTCGTAGTTAACGGCTTAAGATTCAAAGCAAAGCCAGAAGCAGAAGTAGTGCCTGAAAGAAGAGGTGCAAGTCAAGCAACAGAAGAGGACCCGTCTGCTAGCTAACCAATCAAGAACAGGTCCAATATACGCTTCTAAGCGCAGTGCTGTGTCACCTCCAGTTGGCCCCTTTGAAGGGACAATAACCAAACCCCACGGCTGTCAAGAAGGGAACGAAGCAGACCTTGACACAAAAGCAGCCGACTGTAAAGGCCTGACTAGCAGTTCTGGTGAAGTGAGGAACTGACAGCCTGCACTTAACCTGGCCATTAGTCAGACACACAGCATTAGCCCACACACTCCTCTCCGTCTCCTCATGTTTTAATATTAGGCCCAGTAACTACCAGCACACCCAGTTCCCCTCCCGCATCTCTGCGGATGGTGCAATTTCTACGCTTTCACAAAGCGAAGAGCAGATGTCAGATGCCAGATGCCACTGTCAGTCACAGCACTTCTAGGCATTGAGCTCAAATTCTTCACAGTCACTCCAGAAACAGGCTTTACAAAGACCTTCAGAGCCGAGCAGCATCCACGTCATTACACGGAAAACTGGCCAGTAACTGCATCCAGAGAAGGGTGTTCAGTCCTGAATCCCAACGCGCTGCAGCAGCCAGTTCCACTGCAGGCTTTCACGTGAAGGCTGCCAATCAAACACAGCACTCAGCTCTGCATGTTACTCTGCCTTCCTTCACCCAAAGTCCCTTCGCTCTCAGAAGTCATAAGTAACTGCGCATTTGGGGAGATGGAAAAGAAGGAGCAGAGAAAGAAATACTATGTTACTTCAGCATCTAGTTCTTACTCGTGGCAGTGCTTGTTGCAGCAGCTGTGGTCCCAGGAACTTTTAATCCAAACCCAAGCGTTCCAAGACTGGCTGTCCCAGTGGAAGGGGCACCAACTGTAAACACAAGACAAACATGGAGAGTTGGGGTCACCCACCAAATGCAGCGCCCCTTTCAAAAGCTCTACCCTGCCTGCTCACTCCTCTCCATCTGGTCTTTATTTCTATTAACCAGGACCACTGTTTAGGTGAAGGATCATCCGTCCACATACAACATGACAAAATGCTGCACTAGATGATCTCCAGAGGTCCCTTCTAACCCCTACCATTCTGGGATTCTGGGACACCAAAAAAGGCAGCTGACTGTAAAACAGCCAGAACACTCTGCGATTCTTCCAGGCAACATTATCAACCCAGCTGCCAAGCTACTGTCCCTTCTCTTTACCTGCTTTCAATTGTCTAACATTCAACTGCTGTCAGATGCTCAAATAAGCAAAGGGTACTGGACACCGGCAGGCAGGGAATGCAATCTCTGCATGAGTCTACGTGCTAAGCTACTACAAGAGTCAAAGGCAGACCTAAGCAGACTCAAGGCACTGAGGCCTGGAAGACAGCAGCTGAGACATCACTCGAAAGCTCAGCTGAGACAATACTACCCAGACAGAGAAACAGCTCCAAGTGCCCCGTGCAGATTGCCCACCATGCATCTAAAACGTGCCTTGGCTTGAACAAAACCCTCCACGCCCCACCACGGAGGACAGCTTGCAGGGAATCACAAAGAGGGAAGGGGGCAAACAGCGAGAAAGCTGGCCTTTGGAATTCTCCCCTATTACCCCAGCATCTGCTGCTCCACTGCAGAGAGGCACAGGTACCACCAACCACGCTGCCCAGTTGTTCCCCCAATGGATAAACCTGCACTTTGTGACTTACGCGAGAGGCCCGTGGTGGCCGACGACGTCGGGGCTGCAGAACTCACTACGGACGCAAACAGCGTAGGCCCCGTTGAACCGAGGACGGAGGTTGTGGTGGTAGAGGCAGTTGTAGCAGCTGTGGATGTTACTGCAAACAGAAAAGGGGTCGACCTTGTACAATCAGGCTGAGAATGCGACACAAATTTCCCTACCTACATCAGGTTGTAATGGATGTAAGAATCTTAAACTCTTTTTCCTCTTTTTCTACCTCAACCCCATCTCTTTTCCAGTGTACTCTCTAAACCTGTGGCTCCTCTCCACTACGCTCCAGCCACAAGTACAGGACAGAACATGGTACGTGGGACACAACAGAAAGCACAGGACAGTAAGGTCAATGGCTGTACGAACTGTCACAGATTACTGATGCCACTGCAAATTCCCAGTAACAAGCACTTCCAGCCCATTTCCAGACTCCACCTTAGAAAACTGTCCCCAGAAGCACAGCGCATTCACAAGGTCTTGAGTAATTATTGCCTAAAACCACTTCCCACCTCCAAGTTTGGCTCCAAAGGACAGAGCGGGTGCCTGGCTGGTACTAGTGGTCAGCGTTGCCGTGGGTGCACTAGTGGTGGCTGTTGAAGGCAGTGACCCAAAGTTTAGACCTGGAACAAGCAGCATAAGGAAAAGACAAACCTTTTACTACAGAGACACTGTAGTTCCCGCTGATCACAGCGACAGTCAAGTTAGAAGCAACAAGACGACAAGAAAAACACTAACAGTCAATGTAACAAATACTCCCCGTTATGCAGGAAAGGAACTAGAGTCAACAAGCTCGTTAGCAGAGAGGCTTTCAAGAACGATTCTAACACAAAGGAACATCACCCTCCCCCCAGAGATGACGACCCTCCCGCCGAGGCCTGCACTGTCACCCACAAGCAAATCAAAAGCTGCAAACTGAACTTCTGCCAGACTCTGCAGGAGCGGGCAGACTCCTGCTGTCAGGGAGGTGAATGGTGGCTTGGCTCCGGGGGCCTGGCACATCCTGCAGTGCACCCCACCACCACCCCAAGCCCTTTACCCCTGCACCAGCAAACCCGCCAAAACCACAAAATGGTGCTTCAAATGCAGCTGGCACTTCCACACACCCCGGCACAATCATGTCAGCCTCACTCTCCAAGCCCAAAGGCTAAAGAGCAATTGTTACTCCTCACAGAAGACCCTGGAGAAGCGCATCAGAAGCAGCACTGATTCTGGTCGCCCGCTGCATCTCACACCAGCAGAAGCACGAGGCTGCAGAACCTCCTGCCATCCCCAGGTGCCCCCCGTGCCGACAGCCTTCCTCACTACAGCTGCCATTTCATGCATCACCCACTCACCTGCGAACTGCCCCCCCAGGTTGAAGGGGGCTGTGGACTGGGTTGCAGCTCCCAAGGTGGCAGCACTGGTGGCAGCAGCCGTAGGTGCCGCTCCAAAGGTCAACCCTGTGGGCGCTGCTTGCGGAGCTGCAGTGCTGGTATTGAGGCCGGCTGTTCCGGCCTGAGTTGTGGTACCACTGGAAAAAGTAAACCCTCCGGTTGTCCCAGACGGGGCAGCGGTGGAGGTGCCAGCAGATCCAAACACAAAGCCAGAAGGGGCCGCTGCTTGGCTCGAGGGCGCACTGGTGGGTACCGAGCTACCAAAGCCAAAGCCCCCTGTGATTCCAGTAGCTGGAGCGGCAGTACTGCCTCCAAAGTTTATTTTTGGTGTGCTTGCCCTAGAGAAGAAAAGAAAAGAAGCCAATCGGCTCCAGATGTACCAGGCAGGCAAGTACCGAGTCGCCTTTCTGAAAACAGACCATTCGCTGACAGCAGGAACCACCTTTCAAGCAGATGGGCACTTGACCA